GGCGCAGAGCTCATTTGGGACCCGGTCGTCGACTTTTAGCCCCCAGGGACACCCTGCAGTCGCCGGGGCTTTGAGCTCAGCCTGACACACAGGACTGTCCCCCATCCCTGGGGTCCCAACCCTGTGCCCAGGCCCATTGGTCCTGCAGGGTGACCCTGGTGTCAGGGTGGCAGTGGGATGGGGACAGGGGCTGGGCAAGGGCCGTGACCATGGCACACCCCGTGGCTGTGGGGCACCCCATGGCTGTGGGGTAGGTGGGTGCCATGGCTCAGCTGGTTAAAGCGCCTGTCTAGTAAACAGGAGATCCTGGGTTCGACTCCCAGTGGTGCCTGGGCTGGGGGGCTGTTTTTCCTCCTTGACCCAAGCTGAGGGCACTGCTGGGGGTCTCTGCCTTGAGTAGGGGTCCCTGTTGGCCCCACTCCCTTCTGCCCCATTGGGATTTCCACCAGTGCCTGCAGCCTCCCATCCTTTTGCCTTTTGAGGAGGGTCTGGCTGTGACTTCTCGGTTACCCCCTTCAGCGGGGAATGTGTCCCCGTGTCCTGGCAGGGCTGGCCGCGGCTCCCCGCTGCTCTGCCCCAGTTTGCCCCCTCCCAACGACGAAGCTGCCTCGGCACAGTCTGGGTGCATGCTTTTACCGAAAGCTCATTTCAGGGTAGGACAGGGACAGTCCTGGAGATGCTGGGGAATATCTGGAAATCTGGGTGGGGGCAGAAAGGACTTGGGAGCATCCCTGGGAAGGTGTTGGGGGACCAGCAGCAGCACTTGTGCAATGATGGAGCCCATGGGGATGTGGGGAAGGTGCCCCGTGAGGGTACCAGAGCTAAGGCATCTCCCGGTGGATGTGGGGTCCTGGGAGAGGGGACCCCGGGCACAGGCTCTGCTGTGGAGCTGGGTCATGGGATCGGGTGCCCTGCAGTGGGTTTACAGCACTCATTACAGGCAGCAGAAGAGACGCAGATCATTCAGGGCCGTGTCATCCCTCTTCAGCCCCCATGCAGGATCCTGCCGCGTCTGGATGCCGCACACCGCCCTGGAGCACT